ATAAAATAGGGTTGGAACGACCATACCAATTTGACGATCTAAGCTTAACTTGTTGCAAACGAGAATTATAAGTAACCAATAACAAGACTATGTTAAACTTGAAATACGAAAAATAATATACTAATCAGATGCAATCTCCTTTTGCAAGTCTGTGGAATACTACCCGACAATCTTTCATAAGGCTTAAAGTAGACTTTGGACGTCAATGATTTGATTGTCACTGAGTGACACAACTTGTCAATCTCGAAAAAATGATTCAACTCTTTGACGATCAAATAACACTTCATGGAGTATACTTTATCCTTAAATCATTTGTAGTTGCTGAAACTTCAGAGAGAATCATTGCTAGTATTCATAAAACTGCCTTCATCTTCTTTTTACGATAACCTTGGAAGAGTAGGTCACTTAGAATATGCTTTTTGTTTATTTCTTCTTAAATCACAAAACCTCCACCACATTATAGTGTAATTTCATATTCATGTTTGGATAAGATCAATCAAGAGCAATCTTCAAGACATAGTGTCAGGTTTCTGGTTACACTACACATACCTAAAAATATTGTCAGTTCAATCTTGGATGAATCAAAACTTAGATAATATCTTGAATACCATTAATGTTTGAAGAATATTATAGTAGAGTTTTACTTTAATATAATCTATGTAATACATGCAACAAATAATCAGAAATTAGTAAATCATTGTGTATTCATTTGAATTCACTGAATTGCATAATCTTCAAAAAAAATTGAAAAACTCGTCTAGGATCGAAGGAACTATATCCTCAACTTTTAGAGTCGCAAGAATGAGATCAAAATCTCAGCTCTAATGCCAAATTTTGGATGAGAATATGGATACAAAGAGGTCTAGAAGGGGGGGGGGGGTTTGATTAGACCCCTTTCCCTTAAGAAAATTTCAAAAATATTTTAGATCCCATAAACAAAATCAAAGATTTTAAGTAACGTGGATGCAAGACATAAAAAAAGAGATCTTGGAAGCATCTTATTAAACTAAACCAAATGATATAATACAAGATGTTACTAAGAGCTTGATTGCTTCTAATACAAGTCAATCACAAGACAACGAAAGTTGCTTTAAACAAAGCAATTTAAAAACTTCACATAGTAGTCCTATCGAGCCATAATTTGATTCATGATGATTCTATAAGATTGATACAATACAAGCCTAAGTTTATACATAAAATTACTATAATAAAAGTCTTTCTTATGTGGCATACAATCAACACAATTAAACAATTTATGCAATATCTATATTTATGAATTCTAGTAAAATAAAGGAGTCGAGGGAAGAAGAAAAGACACATAAAGATATATAGTAGTTCGACATTCATCCTCACTTTGCCTAATTCACTCTTCAAGGATGTTAATTAACCACTGGAAAATACTCGCAATCTTCCACAATTTTGATACAAGCTTTTTGGTTACCACGAACTATTACCCGATAATTTCTTCTATTGACGCAGAAACTCAAACTGCTAACAAAAACAAGATCCCTAAAGATCTTGATCCAATAACATCGCTATCCATAATAACCTGCTCCAAGTATTTGTGTGTGGCGATCCCCTGACCCCATTGATTTCTTGTCTGATCAATTTCCATTAATTGACCGTATATTCCACAACTTCCAACTTTGTATGTGAGTAATCTTTCTCCAACACCACCAAAGAAGGACAACTTCCAACTCCGCCTTATGGGCCGTAGATATCACCAAAGTCATCCTTGGAGTATATTGAGAAAATCCTTTCTTGATCAATAACAAAGAAAGTCAAACTGCATTCAAGAAATGATAGCCGCACATGTTACAAATAGCAAATCTCACACAAAAACATTAGATACCTTAATGTACCTCTAATCTCCTTCAATCACTAAATCTTTAGAGATGAAGGTCATCAATAATGGAATAGACTAAGGATGAAGATAATGAACAACGTAAGAATATCTCACAAACCAATCTATAAGAACAAGGTGTTAGTCAAGAGATTAGATGAATGTGAATGAAGAACACATAAACACATACAAGGTTCTCTTAAATTTCTGGGTAAATGGATCTTGGTTTTCAATTGTTATCATGAACACAATCAATCAACACACTCTTTCTAATTCAAAAGAAACAAATAAGAAATTGCACTAAAGCAAGATGCATGGTGATGGGTATAGACACACTCAAGAAGGGAAGACAAAGTTACATCTTTGTCTCAATGGATTTCACCCATATGTTCCACTCACTTATTAATTTCATCAAAGAAACATCTATTTAAATCAAGGATGTAAAATGTGTCTTGTGAAGCTTTGATTCGAATCAAGAAGAAATTATGATTTAAATGAATTTGAGCAAAGCTCGAATATGACTTCAAAAGGAAAATTGATTCACTCAATTTTTATATTTGGTTTGGATCACATGAGGTTGTGATTCGAATCATGTTTATTTTGTGATTCAGATTAAATGGTCCAGAGGCAATCCCTAATTTTCTCATAGCTTATGATTCGAATCGTATTTTACACTTGATTCGAATCAAACAACTGAAAATCTAAATTTAAGAGTTCTAACTTGTGATTCAAGCAACCCTTATTGAAACGATAAAGTAGCAACTTGCTAGTTTAAACAAGAAGCAATATCATGGATTAAAACTAAATCTTATTCAATTGAGCAAAGAGTGTTCTTAGTGGTACATCTCACAATAGCCATAGCGATTACAATACAAACGAAATATTAATATCGTACAAGCACACAAATAATAAACGTGAGGTACATTATAAAAATGCAAACAAAATAAGACATCTACATTCAAATTTACAAAAACACTAAAACACAAAAGCAATACCAAATGATACCATGATTTCACTTTCACAGGCCGTGTTGGCCACAAGAATTTTGTAAGGAGAGAGCTACCTATTGCGCGATATTTGGCCTTTTTCGCTCCGATTTGGTGCATTACCTCTTATTACTCAAAATCATAAAAAGAAGACAAAAGTGCGTAAAATTGAACTAAAATGACGAGAACACACATGAAAACAAAATGAAAACAAGCAACAAATATGACACATTTACCACTTATCAATCATACAAACATAAATTTTATAGTCACAAACATGACAATCACTAAAGTTGAATTAAGAAGATCAATATCTAAACCTAACTTAGAATTCATCATGAAATTTCGGTATATCAAATAGTCAATCACTTCTTGAAATTAAAATAAATTAAATCTAGAAAATAGTTCTAAGCAAATAAAAGAAGAATAACTTATCGAATTGTAAAGAGAGAAAGTAAAGAGAACGATATTCTAAGCCATAATGTAAGAGCAATACATTTTTTTTTATGAACAATTGATTAAGAAGGAGAGAAACTTTCACGAGCAAATGAGAGGAGTGAGACGCCAACATTTTTGGGCAATCAAGCAAAAGAACGTTTATGGGCAATCGTGGGAGAAAAAAATGGAGCCAAACATTGTACATTATTTCTGGACGATTGTGACCGTAATATTGTTGATGTGGTAGTCTATACAACCAAATTAGACTACAATTGCATTGTAATTTTAAAATCACACGTTCGACCGCATTAGAAATTCCATTATTTCATCCTTGTTTTTTCAAAACTCATAATTTTACTCAATTTATTTATGATGTAATTAAAAGTCTTAAAATTAGTGTTTTTGAATACTATATTTAAAACTCCTCTCAATTAAAATTTATGTCGCAACAACTGCAATATTCATTGCAGCAACCACAATGACTACCATTGCAACACCCGTAATTTAAAATCATGGGCTCTAGTTTCATAAACTCTAGTCACTAGTTGTTTTTCTCTTCTGGCTTGTATGGTTTTACACAAGATCAATACAACACTATATAGCACCGATATTTTTGAAAAGAAGCGTATCCGTGTCGGTGACGGACACTTACAACAATACTTGAGATTACATTTAAGTTATTTATTTTTTAAAATTATTATCAATAATATTGTGTCAGTATCAGAATATTTTTTGCAATACGCAACGGTTAAAAATCACATCCCAAACAAAAGTAAACTCACAATCATCCACTATTACATGTAAGTTCTCCAATTGAAAGAAAATAACAAACTGAGTATCTGAAATATTAACTATCTATTGCTAAATATTAACTAATTTCTATTTAATATATAAACTATATAAATAAGCTAATTCTAATGATAGTTAAGATTGTAGATCTAACAAATAAAAGGTCCCTAATCATACTTGAGATGAGAAACCGAACAAATAACTACATTCTCATTGCCAATAATACATATACTACACCTAAGGCTAGGTCATACTGCTCTTGCCTTTTATAGGATCATGCTCACTAAATTATGTAAAATAATGTCACATCATTATATGATATTTTCATAATTTAAATAAATATAAGGAAAAATGCTTTTAAAAATTTACATTTTAAACACTAGTATCTCTTTGGCATAGAGTTGAATTTGAAGTGGATTTGATTTATGAGAAGCTACTACTTGAAAAGTAAAATATTATTATGAAAATACCACAAATTCAATGTGGTTGGGCCAACTCAACTTTAAAAAACTGGTTGATAGAGTGAGGATTAATATGTTAAAAAATGTGGTTAGGTCTAACTCAATCCTACAAAACCGGTTGATAGAGTAGGATTGCTTCCACTTATAAACCTATGTTAGTGCCATATATTGTCCACCGTGTAACTCTTAACACTTAAAAATAAAATTGAATTACATAAAAACTCAGTCATTTTCATAACAGTGACAGGGAATATATTAAACAGAAAAGCATCTTTCGTATTCCTTTGTTCACGGCAAAATGATAAAGCTGGTTAGAAAATAACAAAAAGATAACATAAAGAACAAAAGGATAACCTAAAAAGACTTTCACTTCATTGACTTTTGTTCACGGCAAAATGACAGTGGGAGAGAAAAGAACAAAAGGATAACCTAAAAAGACTTTCACTTCCTTTCGTTTCATTCTCTATCTTCTTTTGCATACAAATGGAATGGGTTTCAGGCATAATTTTCATCGTATTGACACTTGCTTTGATATGTGCTTGGAAGGTGTTGAATTTCTTGTGGCTTAGGCCAAAGAAGCTGGAGAAGCTGTTAAGAGAACAAGGTCTTCATGGTAATTCATATAGGATTTTGGTTGGGGATGTTAAGGATCTTTTTAAGATGGAAAAGGAAGCTAAATCCAAACCCATGAATCTCTCCGATGATATTATTCCACGTGTCAGTCCCTACCTCCAAAAGAGTCTTAAAACTCATGGTATGTTATTTTAGTTGTTCAATTATTCAACCTATTGTTTAATCTGTCTTAATTTTTTTTGATTGGTTATATAGTTAGAAGGTAGTTAGAAGACAGTTGGAGGTAGTTGAGTTAGTTAGAAGTTTGTTACAACAATAAGGATCATCCTTACACTTTCTATCACACATAAGTTGGAACTGCAACATTTTGACTATTAACAATGCCTTTCTCAATGACACTCTAGAAAAGGAGGTTTACTCAGTGTAACATTTTGACTTCAGCAGTTTTGGTAAGATCCTTGACTACAAATTATACAAAGCAGTATATGGCATTTAACAATGACCAAACCTTATTTCACTTTGGATTTGTGTCAAGCAAATATGGATCTGATGTTTTCTCAGATCCTCACCAATACATATCCATTCTTGGGATTTTTTAATATGTTAACTAGGCCTAGGCACACATAGAACAAAGGTTGGAAGACTTTTGAGGTACCTAAGTGGCACATATAACTATGGCCTCACTCAGCTTCCTTGTAATGCTCATCTCAAGTTCTCTTTTAGAGCATATAGTGACAGTGACCTGGCTCATGTTTTTTTCCCCAAATCCAGTCTCATAGAGCACCAAGAAGCAATCCTTTGTTGCTAGATCTAGTGTAAAGACCGAGTATCGAGCACTAGCATATACAACCTCTGAACAACTATGGCTTGAATCTCTCCTAATTGAGTTGTGCATTTCCGTCTTCCCTCCCATCTTACTGTGTGACAGTCTCAGTATTTTTCATCTCTCATATAATACAAATCTACGTGCCTGCACAAAACACATTGAATTGAATATTCATTTTGTCATAGAAAAGTGTCTTCCCAGAAACTGGTTACCAAGAGTTTCATGTTTCACTTCCAATTGGTGACGCCCTTCCTAAGCTTCTAGGATCTGCAACATTTGAGATCTTTGGTTCAAGCTCGAAGTTGGCTTGAAACCACCATAAACTTGAGGTGGAGTATTATAAGTATCATACTAAAGAAATATCTAACCTTATATTTTTATGATTGGTTCTATAGTTAGAAGACAGTTAGAAGCTATGAAGTCCGGACACCCCAAATACGACAATGACACCGTCACTGCAATATCGGTAATAATTTGAAAAAATGAATAAATTAAAGATAAATACATATGTCGGTGAAGGTGTCGGCACAAACACATCATTTTTCAGAGGTGTCAGTGTTTAGAAGTGATTTAGTTAGTTAGGAGTTTATTAAAACTCAATCAACTTATAAATCCTCTATATATTGCTAACTACACTTTTGTAATTTATTGAGTTTTGAGCCAAATATAATGACTATGAATAAGAGTTCGTCGTAGCATAACTCTCCAACACCTAATTATAGAACTACTACTTATATGCAGGGAAGAATTCTTTTATTTGGTTCGGAACAAAGCCAAGGGTGATTCTTTCTAAACCTGAGCAAATAAAAGATGTTTTTAACAAGATCTCTGAATTCCCAAAGAGAAATAATAAAATTTTCAAGTCACTAGTTAGTGGTCTAGCTAGCCATGAAGGAGAAAAGTGGAGCAAGCATAGAAGGCTAATCAATCCTGCTTTCCAAATAGAAAAATTAAAGGTATCTCAACGTGTGTGTGCGTGGAAGTTAGAAACAAATATATGTCATTTTATCCTTCAAACTACATTTCTTTTTCTTACAAACTATATGCTTTGAAATATGGATAGTTATGCATATCAGTTTTTCATATTAAATTGTTTTTATGATTACACTGCAGATTATGACACCATCTTTCTTGAAAAGTTGCAATGATCTGATTAGCAAATGGGAGGAATTGTTGTCTTCAGATGAATCATGTGAAATAAACATATGGCCTTCTCTTCAAAACTTGGCTAGTGATGCTATTTCTCGAACTGCATTTGGAAGTAGTTATGAAGAAGGAAAAAGAATATTTGAACTTCAAAGAGAGCTAGCTGAACTTATAATGAAAGATATAGTGAAATCTTTCATTCCTTTGTGGAGGTATAGTGAAATCTTTCATATCATTCACTTATTTAGTTGGTCTTTTTTTATTTTTTTCTTAGCTTTATTTCAACATTTTTGTTTGTAGGTTTGTACCTACTACTGTCCATAGAAATATGGATGAAATTGACAGAGATATACAATCTTCTCTTAAGGATATCATTAACAAGAGAGAGAAAGCACTTGGTGAATCTACTACAAATGATTTATTGAGTATTCTTCTTGAGTCAAATCACAAGGAAATTGGAGAAAATACACACAACAAGAATGTAGGAATGACTCTTGATGATGTAGTGGGCGAATGCAAATTGTTCTACTTTGCCGGACAAGAGACTACTTCAGTTTTACTTGTTTGGACTATGATATTGTTGAGTAGGTATCCCGATTGGCAAGATCGTGCAAGAAAGGAGGTGTTACAAATATTTGGAAACAAAAAACCAGACTTTGACGGCGTAAATAATTTGAAGATTGTAAGTAATTCTTATCATCTTTAATGCAGTTTTAGTTTCTTACTATTTTTGTTAACTTAAATATTTCGGTGACAGGTCACCATGATTTTACTTGAGGTTCTTAGGTTATATCCTCCGGTAATTGGCCTTGCTCGACAAATTGAGAAAGATGTTAAACTTGAAAACTTAGTATTACCCGCTGGAGTGGAAGTTTTCTTACCAATTATTTTGCTTCACCATGATTGCGAACTCTGGGGTGATGATGCTAAGAAGTTCAATCCAGAAAGATTTTCCGAAGGAGTCTTAAAAGCAACAAATGGAAGATATTCATTTTTTCCATTTGGAGGGGGGCCTAGAATTTGCATTGGACAAAACTTTTCCATGATGGAAGCAAAGATGGCAATAACAAGGATTTTACAACATTTCTCATTTGAACTTTCGCCAACCTATACTCATGCTCCATCCACCATGATTACTCTTCAACCACAGTATGGTGCTCAAATTATCATACGTAAAGTGGAGACATAAAAACTCAATCATAGTACGATGATGAAGTGTGAATTCTATTATCTAGTAATAATGTTCACAAGTGTCATATTGTAATTTTATCTAGAACACGTTTGGTTAAAACTGATCTCGTCTCCAAAACAGAGAAACCATGTAAGAATAAAAAGATACGTATATTTGTTTTAAAGATGACATCAGACCAAATAAATAATGAAAATGTCATCTTATCATGCTTCCAACCAATTTTTGGGACATTTTGGAATGAACAAATCAATGGTGCCATTTTTAGAAATCTATATATACAACATTCTCTTTTTATTAGAAATAAGATGACATTTTTCGGGAATATGAGTGATCCAGTTGGAGAAAGAGTGGGACTCCATGTAGTCTCTCTCGTTTGTTGGATATTTAATCGATATCAACATATGTCTTCCAAGAAAAAAAACAATACTTGATCCTTCTTTGCAGAGAAGGATTTATCGAGCATTAAAGCGAATGACTAACTTAGGTGTTAAGTCATCAAAAAATTTCATACCTGAACTTTCGCATGGAGGGAAATTCACATATTAAACTCCTTTCCCTAAGTCTATGGGAAGCTCAAGTTCTTAATTGTGACATTCGACTACTTCACAAAATGAATTAAAGCAGAACCTTTGACAAAAATCACGGGCAATAACATATTTTGTTACTTGAAAAGAAATGTAGTTACTTAATTTAGGATTCCACGGGACGTAGTGACTACCAACGAGATACAATTAAGGAACACACAATTCAAAGAGCTAATGAAGGATTTACGAAGTATTATCTTTTAGAAGAGCGAAAAGATTGGGTCGTCCTAATTAATACCTTAGTAAAGCAGAAAACAACATTCAAGTATAGTAAGCAGGTATTGCCTAGAGTTTTCACACTCAAAGATCTCATGTTAAAGGGAGTAAATGTTGTCCACAAAAACACATCAAATGGAAAGTTAGTTCCAAATTAGGAAGGACCATACAAAGTTACTTCTAGCACATTAAAATGAGCCTATAGGGGGCTCTGATACATCGCATGGAATGCAACAAAAATAAAGTTATTTTATAGTTGGATGTCAATCATATTTTGAAAAGGTTGTAGTCAAAGATGCAAATATCATCAATCAAATCCATTTTACTTTCATTAATATTTCTCCCTGTATAAAGGAAGGAAAACTAAACTTGTTTTCCATAGAAATAAGGACGAAGAACAAAGCCAGTATGATGGAAAACAAGAGAGCCTCGCCATACGAGTTAGCCATTTTTTTCAAGTAGTGTATCTTAAGTTTGAGTCCTAAAATGTGTTTTTTAGTTTTAATTAACTATTTTAAAATAATAAGGTGATCTTGGGATTTGAACCCATCTCATCAATGGTTAAAAATTAATCTAGAGTTTTAACTAGAAAGGGGTAGAGAAGGGACATCCTTTGCTAGGAAAACCCCTGCAAGAAGATACACGAACCTAAAGTAAATATTGAAAGAAATAACATAACCACATGATATTAAAGTAAATATAAACGTCATGAGAATGAGGGGCTCAAATTGTAACCCTTTAAAAAATTAGCTTTAGCTTTATAAAAATAGGACTCTTAAGGAATCCTTGGAAAAGAAAGATTATTGTAAATATATATATATATATATATATATATATATATATATATATATATATATATATATATATATATATATATATATATATATATATATATATATATATAAATATATAAATATATATATATATATATATATATATATATATATATATATATATATATATATATATATATATATATATAGAGAGAGAGAGAGAGAGAGAGAGAGAGAGATTGATAATGCAGTAAGTAAAGAGAGTAGTACTTAAGAGATATTACACAAAATATTTATACCAATTCCCCAAAGTTGATACTCTAGTTCTGAACGGGTATTTGTTTGAGGGTTCAATAAAAGATCGTGACTATAAGTCCAGGGCCACACAAAAATGAAGAAGATACAAATATCATTTAAGAAAGATATTGTTGCACCCCAAAATTTGCCCTCATATTTCTGGTTTGACATCATGGTCAATCAAGGAGGTCTCAACTAACTTCCTAATGAACGGTCTCCAGAGCCGTTAGTTTTTAGATCCAACACCCCCTAAATTGTCCAAGATGTACATGATAGGATGTCTTCAAAGAAAACCTCGTCTGGACGCAAATTTCATGAGGGCTCGTGCATGCCAAACATGCAAGCCCACACTACTCTTCACATTAATACTAGGCGTATACTCAAGCCTGAGTATTGAGCTTATCTCTCAATGGAACACCCCACCCAACAACACAACAATAGTATAATATGATAACAATGATAAAGTGTGGAAAACAAAATGCAAACGTAATGATATACAACAGATAATGTACATAAAGTAAATAACTGGACAAAAATAAACACCCAAAGACACAAAACAGACAAGCACTAGGATTGACTCACATATGAAACCAAAGTCCCCAGCAGAGTCGCCAGCTGCTGCGCACTACAAATGACCGACGAAAACAAACCGAAGAGTCGCCACCGAACGTTATTTATCCTAAAGAGCGGGAAAGGAAATGATCGAAGAAAACCTAAAAGAAAGGAGAAGACAAGGTCATCGCAACCAAATCTTGGGTTTGGGAGTTGATAACACGAAATCATATAGATATTTTTATGCATAATTCAACTAAAGTCTAACCGTTTTCGATCCGATTTCGGGTTATTTCCGTGTATTTGTCTGATGTTTTGCAGGTATTCAACGATCACGTCTAAACAAGACAACATGAAGAAAAGAAGCAATCTCAGATGAAATATGGACGAAAAAGGAGTGAAAACACAATGAAAAGCGCAACAAGCTGTTTTTGCTGATGTGACGACCGTCACAGCTTCATGACGACCGTCACACGGGTGACGACCGTCACACCTTGTGACGACCGTCATGCAGGCAAAAACGCCCCACTCAGATTACACGTCAAAGAATCAGTTCCAATTCCCACAGAGTGGACCACTACTCCCTAAATTATCTGCCTCAAGGTCCATCATCTTCAGTGATAACCGTTGGGATTCCACTTCTATAAAAAGGGAAGCAGGGGACTTCAGAAAGGGTGCTGCATTCATACCACGAAGTGCTGCCGAATTTATTTCCAGAGCTTATCTTCCAGTTTTATATTCTTATTTGTTTCCCTTTACCTTTCCTGTATTGCATTTTCCGTTCTTCTATAACTTCTATTTTATTGTACGATCAAATTGGCATTAAAGACCAGAATCCTGCCAACATCTGTGGAGGATCTGCCCAAAGGCCAATTGGCATATTTACAGGTTTCTCATTTCAATCGATTTCAGTTTTATTATAATGCAAATCATTATTTATTATTTTTATTTATGTTTTATCTTTCCCAAATCCATGTCTAGCTAAACTTAGGTAATCGATATGTAGTAATAATTCGAATGGGATTTGATAACAACGGTTGAAAAACTTTCTTTTCATAAAAGTAATTTATGGTTTGAGTGTTTAAAATTGATTCATTGAATAAACTTCGTCGCGAAAGCGAGAACTTATTTAAAAGTAGTTTTGCCATGAAAGTGGGAAATTAATTAAGATACGAACCAACAAGCGAAAGCTGCGGTAAGGTCAGATAGTAAACACTAGGCATTTGTTTTAATAACAGCGAAAGCACTTTAAAACGAATTAGAACTTAGAGATTTCCAAAAAATAATTTTAACCCCGAACGGGATACGAAAGTGTACGTTTGGCCCTTAGGATTATGATTAGCGTCAATAACCATTGTGAGGCGAGAGTCTTCAAATCACCATTTTCTGCTTAAATAAACTTTGAAAATTATTTCATACACCAGTAACTTATCAAATCCCTGAAGAACACAATTACTACGTATCGATTCAATCAATTATAAGCCAAATAGTATTCTTAGTTCCCTTTTAGTGACAATCTTATTCCCTTAAACATATTCTACCTAGCTAAACATAGTAACTCCCGAGAACACTAGTTTGATTACGAGTCCCTGTGGGATCGATATCTATTATTACTACGCGATAGACTGTGCACTTGCAGTTAGGTTGTATTAGACATAGAAAGTCGCGATCAAGTTTTTGGCGCCGTTGCCGGGGACCCGTTTAGTCAATAGTGTAACCTTCTGTTACGCCGTATAGACTAGGTTAACAATTTTCATTTTCCCTTTACTAGTTCTGTCGATTGTATGCCAAGAAATCGCCCGCAAAGCGATATCGTAAAACCTTCAGTCGCAGAACTAGAATGTTTCTTACATTTAAGAAGTAGAATCATTGAGTACCAACTCAAACAACTCAAACATAACACTCTCGAACCTCTCACTCCCATTCCCAAATCAGAAGAGGAAGAATCAGAGATGGCTGAAGGACCTCCAAACAAACCGCTGAAGGCATACGCTACACCATCTCAGATGGAGCCTAGAAGTAGCATTGCTGCCCCAGCTATTACCCGAAACGATTTTGAGTTGAAACCATCATTGTTGTCGGCTGTGCAACAAAACCAATTCTCCGGAAACGCAACTGAGGATCCGAACGAACATCTAACGAAGTTCGTACAATATGCAGACACAGTGAAAGCAAATGGAGTAACTCTAGACGCGATAAGACTTCGTCTTTTCCCATTCTCTCTTAGAGACAGAGCGTGGACATGGTTACAATCGTTACCATCCAACTCCGTTACGACGTGGGAGCAATTGAAGAACGTCTTCTTAGCGAGATATTTTCCGCCAAGCAAAACTGCCATGCTTAGAGCTCAAATCAACGGATTTCGACAGAAAGATACTGAATCTCTTTACGAAGCATGGGAACGATTCAAAGATATGATGAGAACATGTCCTCACCACGGTCTAGAAGACTGGGTGACAATCCATACTTTCTATAATGGGCTTCTATACAATACTAGATTGACAATAGACGCTGCCGCGGGCGGTGCACTTATGGATAAGCCATACGATGAAGCCTATCAACTGATAGAAAACAT